AATTTGTTGGCTTTCCATTTATCAGAATGTAAGTTTCACTGTACAGGAACCTGGCTGGTTTTATTCAGTAAATTAGTTTTAAAAGCTGCTCAAATTCCCATAATCTCAGCCTATAAGGTCTACTGTCTGGTGATGAAGTGCATCTAAAGAGCATTGGGCTAAGGAAAACTGCAATAAAACATCATGATGAACTGTTGGGTTATTCTGAAACTTCGATATCAAAGGGAACTTGTAGGACCTTACAGACTAATTGCGAGAGCAAAATTGGTAGCATAAGATTTCGTAGACTAAATAGACCATCTATGAAAGCTTATACTGCCAAGTTCATTCTCTCGGTTAGTCTCTAAGGTACTACAAAATCTCTTTGCATACAGTTTAAATTACTTTGGGCTGCTGTTCAAAATCACAGTCAATTAGGTTTTTGTATATGCATTTTAGTGTTAAATCAAACAATGTAATCATTCAGTCATCATTAGTGGAACAGGAAGAATTCTGAAACAGAAACCATCTTTGGTTTTCAAATTGTACATTATTTTAAAGGTGGCAGTGGCCTAAATCTGCTTTTACCCCATTAGAGTAGACCCATTGAATCAATGTGATTTACCATCCAGTAGTTGATTTAAATCAACTAGAAACAATGAATTGCACTTGAGCCTTTTCTTCTTGTAAGAGAAAAGGGATAAATGTTGCCTATACTGTATTTTTGTTAAATAATTAACAATTATTTATTAATAATACATAAGGTATATAAGACAGCATATGTAATTATTTTTGAATGCTTGATAAATTAACCTTTTAAGTTGAGTTGATTATGAAGAGTTGATCAATGAACTGAACAGATTAATCAATAAGAAATTGCTGCTCACAAATGGATATAACCGATACCGATAATTATACTAATTATGTAATATTTTACAAATAATCATTCATATTTCTACTGTACCACATTGATCAGCTGGATAAGCTGCAGGCCAACAGTGACTCTAACAGGATCACGATGGTTGCTGACTGGGCGAACAACCCTGTTATATTTACTGAACAAATCTGAAACCAGGCGAGTTTCGTGATTGGAACACCGAACCAGGACAGCTGCAGGAAAATAAACACAAACACATGGCATTCAGTCAAGCCCACTTCGCAGGCAGGGGAGAACCACCTCAAGTTTGTAGAAAGTGTTGGAAGAGACCACAAGGGCCATCCAGCCCAATGCCCTTATGCCATGCAAGAACATACAATCAAAGCACTCCCAACAGATGGATCTCCAGTCTGTTTAAAAACCCACCAGAGTAAAAGACTCCGCCATACTCCCAGTGTATTCCACTGTTGAACAACTCTGACCCTCAGGAAGTTTTTCCTGTTGCTTAGATGGAACCTCTTTCCCTGCAATTTAAATCCATTGCTTTGCGTTCTTGTTTCTAGAGCAGCAAAGGACAAGCTTGTCCCCTCCTCAATGTGACATCTTTTCCAACATTTAAACATTACTATCGTGTCTCTTCTTAATTTCCTCTTCTCTAAGCTAAACATATCCAGCTCCCTAAGCCATTCCTCATAGAGCTTCGCTTCCAGACCTTCAACCATTTTGGTCCTTCTTTGGACATGTTCCAGGTTGTCAATATTCTTCTTCTTGGAGCCCCCGGTGGTGCAGTGGGTTAAACCCCTGTGCCGGCAGGACTGAAGACCGACAGGTCGCAGGTTCGAATCCGGGGAGAGGCGGATGAGCTCCCTCTATCAGCTCCAGCTCCTCATGCGGGGACATGAGAGAAGCCTCCCACAAGGACGATAAAAACATCAAATCATCTGGGCGTCCCCTGGGCAACGTCCTTGCAGACAGCCAATTCTCTCACACCAGAAGCGACTTGCAGTTTCTCAAGTCGCTCCTGACATGACAAAAAAAATTATTTTTGAAATTTGGTGCTTGGAACTGGACACAGTCTTCCAGGTGAAGTCTGACCGTAGCAGAATAGAGTAGGATTCTTGCTTGTTGACGTCAAATACTGATCACGAAGGAGCAGCTGACGGATACTCCAGTATAGCAAAGACTAGCTGGATTATTTTGGCACAGCTCTGACTATAAACACTCTCTTTCCTTAAGTGAAACCTGTTGTCTCTGAAATGCTGAGACCCATCTGGAAGATCCTGGGCTGTCTTTGTTCTCTATTGATATATTGCTCTCTGGTTGAATGAGGGAAATGGAACAGGAAAGCTACATTTTCTGTATACATCCTTAGTGAAAAATATGCCATCCATGGATACCACAGCAGATAATACCCAAGGTTGTAGAAGCGTGCAGCAATATTTTATTACAAGTTCTTCAGTGGAACTGCAGTATCTCTCCTGAGGAGGTCTATCAGTCATGCGCTGTTAGTGCTACTTCAAATGGTGCTCTCTTTCTGTAAATGGGTATCCTGACTCTTTTCAAGTAGGGAACTCATGATTACGGATAATACTAACAAGAAAAATATTCCAGTGTGTAACCAATATCACTATTGAAAAACAATGTAACTGGTATTTGGAGACACTCAATATTGAACCTAACCATTATACTGTTTCTTCTACTCATAGCTCCTTCCAGAGTCTGTCTTTACCACCAGCACCCATCACTACAGCAATTATTTCAAACTTAATGAAAGCTAGGATCAATTCTATGTTCTTTGTACAACATGTTCCTGTGCTTTTCACTTCTAAACAACAAGAAAATGATCAAACACTTGTTTTTCTTGATTATCATGAATCATGTGATACGATGCAAAGAGAAATACATTACGTTTTATTTAGAATCCACCCTGAGACACAGGTTGAGTTGTTATCTGGGACTGAATGAAAGTCTATTTAAAAGGAGTTTTATGAAAAGAAATTCTTCAGAAGGGAAATAAAAAGAAGGTAGAATTAAAAAAATCACTAGTGCAGTAGATTGAAAAAGAAAAGATCATAAATAGATGTACATATTCTCAACAGTTTTGATAAGATGCATAATACTGAAGAAGGAGTTAGAAATCAAATGCTTTTCTGTGGTTTCTGTGTACCCGATCCTATCTTATCTTGGATGCTAAGCAGGGCCATCTCTGGCTTATTTTTGGATGGGAGACCACCAATGAATATTAGGCATTGTATACTCTATTACAGAGGAAGGAACTGAAAAAACCACATCTGAATATTCCTTGCCTAATATCTATGAATTTCATGTGGTCAACATAACTTGATATATGATTTGGAAGACACACGCTTACACACACCATGCTAAGTGGCATTCAAATAAACTCGGCAAGCTAATAGCAAAGCCCAGTGGCTTCAGACCATAAATGTCAGTTTAAATCATCAATGAGCAGCTAACCTCAGCCAAAGACATATTGAATCAACTCACTGCATATCGTAGCCTCTTTGAATCTCCTTGTGCAGAAAAAAAGCTGGGTATTATTGTTGTTATTATTAATAATAATAAAAATAATAATATTAATAAACACGTCAAACTACTCTGGGACTTCTGAATTCAGACTGACAGAGTTTGGAGCACAATACTCCTGACCTCACGTTCATGTTAAAAAATAAAGTATGGATTGTCAATGTTGCAATCCCAAGTGACAGCAGGATGAAGAGAAACAACTGGAAAAGCTGACACGATATGAGGATTTAAAGACTGAACTGCAAAGACTCCGGCACAAGCCAGTCAAGGTGGTCCCAGTGGTGATCGGCACACTGGGTGCAGTGCCTAAAGACCTTGGCCTGCACTTAAACACAATTGGCACTTACAAAATTACCATCTGCCAGCTGCAGAAGGCCACCTTACTGGGATCTGCACGCATTATTCAGCCGAAACATCACACAGTCCTAGACACTCAGGAAGTGTCGCATGTTCCTTCCGCACAGAAGAAGAGTGAGCACCACACAATGGCTGTGGACTCATCTTGTTATATCTCTAATAATAATAATAATAATAATAATAATAATAATAATAATAATAATGTTATAATGGTGTCTCTATGTCTAATCTACCAGGATCTTTATATATAAAACTAGTACCTCGCCTCTCCCTGCCCTCCCAATTGATCTAACTATGTGAAAAGAATTCTGCCTCCATGATTAGTATAACAAGGATTTCCATTAAAGGATGGGCAGACTCGGCAGCAATTCATACTTCAACTACCAGCCATGATAGAATCTCCCATAGACTGCAGAAAATACATACCCTACAGATAAAGTCTTGATTGAGAAACAAGTATGAAAGATAAGAACAAGTGTTTGTGTTTTATTATGTTTTTACACTATATCTCATGCTAACATTCAGTTAAATCTGACAAAGTTAGAAGTAGAATCTTATCTTTTTCAAGGTCTGTCTTTTATCCCAAATCAGCCAAACCAAGGTTAGAGGATGAAATGGTTTTACCTGGTCCAAGGAGCAGAAAGAGTGGTAAACAGCGGACATCCATTGCTTTTCTTTAAGGGCTTCAAAAACTCCACGATACAACTCTAAGTGGAGCACTGCTTTTTCCAAAACTGGTGCTTGGGAAATGTGACCACGCAGTTATTGTTTCATAGCACCTGCTGATGGGGACAGCAGCTGAAAGCCAGCATACCAGTTTGGAAGTGGAATAATCTATTTTTGCCAAGCCAAAGTCTCTCTGGCGTACAGTCAGGATTCTTTTTGTCTAAGTTTCACATGCCACAGTGTGAATGGGGTGGGGAGAGGGATGTGGTGTAAAACTACTACTTCAGTTTTAATTACATGCACTTGGAGTAATTAATTGCCAATGATTGCAATAAAACTTCCTTTTATATTAACCCGCTTGGCCTGGTGACTTCAGGAGATTTTCATTGGAAGATTGTCATCAGTGTATGTTAATTTGAGACTGAAAGCAGAAAAGAGAAATCAAGCATACATGCTGATGTAGATATGTGCATGGATATATTTTAATACCAATTGCAAAACTAGGACATTCAGAACTAGCTGTATGTATAATCAGCCCCATGTTTACAGGTCTAGTCATAAACGTCTTTTTCAAAATCCAGACAGCTGTGAGATGAAATAAGGCTTTAGGGTTATTTTCCCCAACTCTTGTTTTGGGGCTTAAATAAACATGCTGTGTGAAAGTGGACTATCCCAATTCCAATCCACAAAAAATCTAATTGAAAGTCTTAAAGGCCATGGTTGTGGTGGATGAAACCAGTGAAAGTCCTGCCTTAAATCTGGGATGTCTTATTTTAAACAGCACCTCTGGTCACCATGTTGTCACACTTTTTCAAAAACACAAGGTAAAGGTAAAGGTTTTCCCCTGACATTAAGTCTAGTTGTGCCCAACTCTGGGAGTGGTGCTCATCTCCATTTCTAAGCCAAAGACCCTCCATTGTCCATAGATACCTCCAAGGTCATGTGGCTAGCATGACTACATGGAGCGCTGTTACCTTCCGCCAGAGTGGCAGCTATTAATCTACTCACATTTGCATGTTTTCAAACTTCTAGGTTGGCAGAAGCTGGGCCTAACAGCAAGGGCTCACCCTGCTCCTCGGATTCGAACCACCAACCTTTTGGTCAGCAAGTTCAGCAGCTCAGTGGTTTAACCCGCTGCACCACCGCAAACACAAACAAACCTCAATTCACAATTCACCATAAACGCAAACCAATTTCTGGCAAAGTTCTGATTTTGTCTCTGTGCCACATAAAATTACTAACATAACCAGACTCTTCCTCCAAAATATGCATGCTCTAAAATACATAAATATTCATTTGGAAAATGAATAAATTCTCTGCCTCACCAGGGAGATAACAGACCATGTTTGAATGGAATTCAGCTGGCATTTGAACCAAATTAATTTATATGGTATATGGGCACAAGGATTATATGTCTGGGTTTAACATGTCACACTGATTCAGGCAAAAATGATATTAGTAAAATGTTAACTGTATACATTTCTCTTTCATTGTTGTTATAAATTGACAAATACGATGTGACTTTATTGTTCCTATGGATTTATATTGTGTATATAACCACTAGGGTAGTTTCTTCCTTTCTCCTTGGAATTAGTATATGTTCTGTTGCCCTGTGGCCTTAGGTCTGACTATCTACGCTGCATCTACACTGCCTTCCACTTGCCCTCCTATGTGTTTTCCTTACCTCCACCTCCTCCTCCTCCTCCTCCTCCTCTTCCTCCTCTTCCTCCTCCTCTCTCTCTCTCTCTCTAACTCATTGATGAGGGGAAGGGAAAGCCTGTTCAAATGCTTTTTGTGGGCAGCCATCTAAGAGCTCCCAGGAAATCAATATGATTCTGGGAGAAACAAGCATCTGAAGAAATAGTATACTTTAGCCACAAGAGGGAGCATTTGGTTCATAGGTTTAACCTCCATAATTTGTTTGGGATTGCCATTCGTTATTAAAATTTATGTTTGAGTTATTTTTTTAAAAAAAAAACATTAAAATTAATTACCATTGTTATCATCACCATCAGCATACAAGTCAGTAAAATAGATGTTTAAATGTCTTCAACATATATTATCAAAATGTGTCATATGGGTAAACTGAATCAATTGAATCCCACATTAACCTCTCATTCCCTCTTTAAACCATTTCACTGTTTTATTTCTGCATGGACATGCAAGACTCTTGGCTGAGAAGGTTCATCTGAAGTCATTGACTTCAGGCAAGCAGCTATTCCTGTCTTCTACGCATGCCACTTCCAGATGAACCTCAGGCCACAGAGATAGAAAACAAATTTGTTGATGCCACAGGAGAAGGCTATGGCTGTCTAATTGTCTGCCTCATTGATGGAAGTGTCTCCCATTCATAGTTGTCCTTTGACCTACCTTCTGGCAGTGGACCTTTCAGGATGATCCTGAGATGGAACATGCAGAACGCTACTAGTATGGTACTCGAGGCCTTGCTTACTTCACAGAAGCTGTTGATGTTTGTGCTCTGCTGGCATAGCCTTTCTCAACTACAAGGCTGACTTTAACATTACCATCACTGAGGCAAATTGTCTGCTCCTCACTCACTCTCTTCCCATAGAGCCCTTGTTGCTCTGGAGACCTGCTGCTAAGATGTACATATAATCAGAATCTGAAGTACCTTTTCCCAGTGGTGGTCCCTCTCTCCTTGGGCCAGATGCCCCACTTCAACAACCCCTGTCCCCAACTGACCAGTCACCAATTGGTGCCACCCAATCAACCGCATGTTTTCAAGAAAGTAAGATGGTAGTGAAAGCAACAGGAGCAGCAAAGACAAGGATTCAGTGGGAAAGCTGAAGGTGCAAACAGCCAGAACATACTTGTTGCCAGTAGAAACCTTTGTGAAAGCTTGACAACCAATTTCTCTGAGAGGCACAGATGTCCAGGAAGTCAAACAGTGTCCTCTTTAGGATTTCAGTGAGTACACTCACCTATTTTCATGTAATCAAGGACATCTGGGGCAGGGTTTAATGTGGCATGTGTGTTTAGCCACACACATGTTGAGATGATCACCCATGTAGTAATTCTGTAGATCCTGCTTTCCCAGGAAATGATCTTACAGAACCCTTCCAAACAGGGCCTAAAATGCGGACCCTGACAGACTTTTACCTGAGGTGTCCAATCAATGCCTCAGGTAAAAAAGGATTAATTTGTGACAAAGCATGAAAACACTAATTAATTAAATACCCCATTAGATCCGGGTGTTCCTGAAAGGCCTGGGTCTAATGGGGTATGGGCTCTGTGAGGACTGACTACTGGGTACTCCCGGGATCCAGTCCCCACACCCATCTCACTTCACCAGGCTTCCAAAAGTCCACTCCTTTCCCAACCCTCCCAAGTCTTTAAAATAAAATAAAAAATTACTGGGCTGCCATGCCTCCTCTCCGGTGGGCCTTCTGGCATGTAGAAATGACACCCCAGTTATTTGGGTGGGGGTGGGGAGGAGCGATGTTCCTCCTTCCCCCACCTCCTGGCATGGTGGCTCAGTCAGGTTTTATTTATTCTAAAGGCTTTTGTGGGTGATTTGGGTGGCCCCATGCCCTCCCAGAAGTTACCAGGAGGGCATGGGGACACCCAACAGGGAAAACCCATTTTGGGGGGAGCGTTGTAGGAACCCATTTTGGAGTTCATTTCTGTCATGTCTGGAAGCGCCCTTACTAGGACTGTTGTTCCAGTCAGCTCCTACTTAGCTCCTATCATTCTAGACCAGGCATTGCAAACTTCACCCCTCCAGGTGTTTTGCACTTCAACTCCCATACAGCCTGTAGACTGTTAGGAATTGTGGGAGTTGAAGTCCAAAACACCTGGAGGGATGAAGTTTGCCCATGCCTGTTCTGAACCATCTGCCATTGACAGGCTGTTCAAAGGGTCCCAGATTCTGCCAAGTTTACTACAGAGTTTAATGACTTGTGGGAGCAATCCAGTCAAACCATATTTCTTTCCTTTGATTGTTGTCTGGCAAATAGTACATGGTGTACTTCATGAAAACGCACTGAATAGCCATCTATAAGCTAGAGGATATAAATGGTGTCCCCATTTGCAACACTTGTGTAGTCTTTGTGATGCCACAAAATATATTTTGGGATACAGCAGATAGCAGCATGGAGGGGGAATCCCTTAAAATCACTTCTTCCTTTTGGCTGATGGGTGCTTGCTATTAGGATAAGACTGCCTATAAATTTATATTCCTGTAATAAAGGAACCAGGTTACATGTGATTTTGGAAGCTAAGCAAGGTCAGCTGTGATTGGTATTTGCATGGGAGACTACTAATGAATACCAGGTTCTGTATTTCAGAGGAAGGCACTGGCAAAACCAATTCTTAAGTATTCATTGCCTAAGAAATATTTCTGAAATTAATGGGGGTCACTATATATCAATGTACAGCTTGATGCCACGCACACACAAAATAACACAGGTAATTATATAAATGTGTATTCTAATCCTAAATAATTTTAGGTTCCACTGAGTTTGGAAAAGTGTCGGTTGCAGCTGTATTACATTATAAACCCTTTCAAGGTAATTTTAATAGACCAGAATCCTGAGGAAGTTCAACCTTCATAAATTGCCTGTATTATTTAAAATGCTGGAGGAGAGGAGGAAACATGTTCATGACTCCGAGTGCTATGCTTGTGATGTAGAGGTCTCTCTCGCACAAAACATATCCTATTTCTTCGTCAGACCGGAAAGGTTTCACATTTCGGAAGGCATACTTTGAAGAGTTTAGACGAGAGTATTAATAGTCTATCTGTTAACACATGTAGATGTCAATCTGTTCAGCTTCCTTATCAATGTTCTGTGCGAATATAAGGTGAGAAATCGCTACATTATTTTGTACTCTAAACTGTGTGTCCAATTTCAAATACTTAAAAAAAACCCTCATGTTTTGATTGATTTTTAAATGGAAGATAAGGAAGTATAAAATTCACATCGGCTTGCTAATTTTGTTCAGTATCATTCAAATATATGTATGAATGATTTTTTTTTTTTGGTCGGGAGCGACTTGAGAAACAGCAAGTTGTTTCTGGTGTGAAA